ACACACGTGTGTCAGGATGGACTGATTGCAGCTGTGAACGTGAACGACGCAACAAGTTGTTGCTTGTGTTCGCTGCTTCTGACTTCACCAGAAGAGACGCCGTCGGGACCGCATTCCCCCGCGTGCACCTCAACCTGAATTAATCCTCGCGAAGCTCGGTGGACAACAAAGGTGCGACTCATCCGTGCGTCTTTCCTCCTCCTCCCCCCGGAGGAAACTGAAACGCGCGCGCACAGCGGATGCCGGGTGCGCACTGACGGTTTGCGGTGAGTTTCTCTGTCAGTGAGCCTGCGCGGCTCGATGAGTGACACCAGGAGGAGGAAGACAGACAGACAGTTATCGTGGCTCAAACTCGACCAGGATGGCACCCAGCTCCCGCTGAGCTCGAGCGGCAGAGCACCCAAGTGGCGAGTCGGGGGGTGGGTGGGGGGGCTGTGCGTGAAGCTTAAAGAAGTCGGGATGGACGGCAAAGGCACCCTGAAGATGTTCAGGAAGAAACGGGAACTAATCAAGACACCGTCTATCTCGAAGAAGAGTCGAGCAGGAAGCCCTGGGCCACAGAGCAGCGCCCCGTCTGTGAGTAGCGCATCACTTCTGGTTTCTGGTGTTTAACTGTGTGTGTGTCAGATGACCATCATCTGGAGTGGACAAGTTTCTGAGAGGGCTCATTACCAGGGGTGCTTTTGTTTGTGTGAGGCTCTGTAAGTTTTTAGTCTTTTTTTGGGGGGAATCTTTTCTGCTGTTGTAGCTGGTGCGATCAGGGGTGTGAAAACTGTCCTCAAGCTGAAACCAGTCATCATAATGCAGTGTCACAGAGCTGAGTGCTGAGATGGGTACCTGACTGTAAGCTGACTCATATCTGGTTATGTGGCGCATAGGAAGTATGTCTCCTGTGGGGTTTTTGCGTGTGTGAGTGAGCAAGTGAGTGAATGCGTTTTGAGAATTTGTGATTAGAATGGGGACAAAAGTCTAGAGGGCAAGGAGCATGCTGAAACGTGGTGGCAAAAACAGTTACAACCCTTACTCTACAAGTCAGAGAGTTAAAAAAGCCGAGTCGAAAGGCAAGGACAGACTGGACATACTGCCCAACAGGCACAACGTATGGCTGAAACAGGTACGTTTGTCGTGTACACACAAGTCTCCAATATGAACAGAAAATATGCACTGATGCTTTTTTTTGGTTTCCTGTAAAGTATTTACAATTTTCGGGCTGCTTTTGTTTGGTTGAGATGCACTTGTCGAGCCCTAAATCTACAGGCCGCTGACTTTAGTTGAAGTTTTCTGTTCAGTACCAACAAGCCAAAAAAAAAGAAACTTCTCCGTGAGTTGTGTTTTTGTTTGTTTGTTTTATTTTTTTGTAGGTGATGTATAAAGTTATTCGACTTTCTGCTGAGTTTGCCACACCCGTTAACAGCTTGGAGTCAGGAAGTATTGCACAACGCAGCAGCAGCAGGATCTTGTGAAAGTCTGCATATGATTGTTTACTAATAACAACAGTGCTGCTGGCCCCAGAGGCAAAGAAAAGTCACCTTGTTGGCCGTAATGCTGAAAGGGACGAGCCGCGTTGCAGTCTTGACCTTCTCTGTCTTCCTGTCCTCTCTCAGCTCTCCATTCTCCAGGAGCAGCCTCGCAGAGATGCAGTCGACGTCACACTCTTCTGTTCCCCCTCGTCTTCCTCCTCCTCGTCTTCGACGCTTACCCCAACTTCCGCCGGGCTCCAGGATCCCTCCGCGTCCTGCCCGGGCACCCCGAGCGCTCAGCACAATAAATTGGGAATGATGCAGGGGGTGGGCTGCCCGTCTCCTGTGGCCACTCTCAAGAGACCGACCGCACTGAGCCGACACGCCAGCGCTGCAGGTCTGCTCCATCACTTAATTATAGTCCTGCTCCTGCTTGCTGAGCGTGGCCCATCACAAACAGAATCTGGTCGAAACACCATTTATGAGCTGTAACTGAGGCATTTATGTGGCGTTATCACCTTTTAAACATTTAATATCAGTGAAGCTGAAAAGTTTGAGATTATCGACTTGGATTTCAAAGCCTAGAAACTGTGAAACTGAGGAGTTCTTTAACTAATGATTGCTCTTTAAATAGATTTCTTACACTGTTAAATGCAAGAAGGAAAATCATGACCAGAAACTGCCATTCTACAACTTCTGACCAAGACCGAACCCCCCCCAAAAAATGCTCTAATGTAAAGGAATAGTTAAATGTTTTGGGTAGATGTGAAGGGCCCCCTCTAATGTCACACTAATGTAAATGTAATTCTACTGGGACTAGTGAGCATATAAGCTTGAAACTGGTGCACATATGCAGAAAACCAAATGATACAGATTCCCACATTTGTTTTATTTCATTAAATTAGGCCCAGTAATAGAACTAGATTGATTGTATTCTCTAAAATCTTGAATCAATCCTTTATTATTATTATTATTATTATTATTATTATTATTATTATTCTTTTTTGTGACAATTCATGAAGATTATTCAGTAAAAATTTAAAGTCTCACACGAAGACTAAATGCGTGTTTGCTGAGTGATATTTCCGTGTTTCCTCAGGGTTCCCGCTCCAGTCGTGGGTTTTCACTAGAGGTCAGGGAAAAGGGGCTATAACCCCGACGACTCCATCTGACAGTCCAGAGAGCGTGGCCATCGAGGTGGAGGACATCCCAGCCCTGCTGAGGGACGTCGCACGCTTCGCGGAGGCCGTGGAGAAACTGAAGGATGTCGTTCTGGCTGAGGGTGAGAGCCGTGACAGGTTTAAGCGTTGTCTTGTACATCTCCAACACAAACCTGCGTGAGAAGCCCCCAAATACATCCTGTCAGACAGGCTTTTGTTTGGTCTTGTTAGCAGCTGCAGTCTTCCCTGCCAAACTCTGACTTACAGAAACGTGTTCAGTTGCATGTGATATGTCTGGATTTGTTTTGAACAAAGC